GCTTATCTTCCCTGTACAGGAATGGTATCAGCAGATGGCCGATTTCATGAGTTTAAGTTTCTGCAGAATCCTTCTGCTTCTGCCAGTCTAAATACTCACCAAAACATTTCTTACATCTATGCCATAGACACAGAAAGGAGATGGCCTGCTGGTGCCCCCTTTAAAAATTGATTTTAATTATGTTATTCCCAGCTCCTCTGGGTGTGGCAAATATGCCCGGTTATCTGCAAACATCTACCACTATCTTAACCGACGTCTTGTCAGAGCCTATTTCTCCTTTTCACATCTAATTCCAAATTTATGTGTGTGACAGCTTCAGAGAAGCCCTGATGACCTCACAAACAGGCTGTCATAGGATGTAAGAAATTGGAGGCATTAGAAGAAGGACTGCACTCTCTCTCTCTCCACTTCTGTTTGAGATCATGAACTACTAACAGTCTTCTAGCCTGTTACAGTCCCTTAAAATTCAGGTAACTTAAGATATCCTTGGATAGTCCCTCTGCTGACAGGTTTTCTCATACAACAGCTGGGATGGATTGAAGGAGCTTGATTCAGTTGCATAGATATACCTAGTTAGTGGCATTTGAGATGTCATAAGGGTATCCCAGAAACCTCTGGAAGTAGCGGAATATGACACAGGACCTATGGGAGACCCATGCCCTTCTGGATTGGCAGGTGGAGCCATGCAGGATATCTGTGGGCATTTTTATGTCTGTCTTCAGCTGAATTGATTGTGAAGTCACACTTTCCATGGACAGCACTGCTCAAGACTGACAAGATTTCAAAACTTGAAGTTCTGAAAGGGACAATTTGCTCTTTGGTCACCACCCCTGTGATGACTAAGCTAGTGTTTGAACCACATGCTTTCATCATATGGAAGCCAATCACGAGCTCTAACCACACTTCCCTCTCCATCACCTTTTGCCTTTTGATAATCCTCTAGCCAAAGATGCACACCAGGAGTGTCCTATCTTCCTATTCCTTCTGGCTCCCCCAAGTCTAGGGCCCCTCCTGTTAGAACTAGCAGGAGATGGTTTCTCTCACAGCCTGAAGGACCATAAGCCCAATAATTCCTTAGGGCAGAGGAAGGGTTTTATGGTGCCATTTTGATGCTAAAAAAAAAAAAAAAAAAAGGAGACCAGTCAGAAAAAGCCACTGGATGGCTGCCTTAGCAGCAATTCCACTCTGGCTGCAGAGGGGCACTGGCTTGCCTTTCTTATTTATTTTCATGGTGTGATCACCCCTCTCATGGAAAGTACCTTCCATTTGCAGCAGATGAAGTCATATTTGCCGGGTCCTGCACTTCGGCCACAACAACCCCATGCAGCGCTACAGGCTTGGGGAAGAGTGGCTGGAAAGCTGCCTGGCGGAAAAGGACCTGGGGGTGTTGGTTGACAGCCGGCTGAACATGAGCCGGCAGTGTGCCCAGGTGGCTAAGAAGGCCAACGGCATCCTGGCCTGTATCAGAAACAGTGTGGCCAGTAGTTAAACGTTGGAACAGACTGCCCAGGGAAGTGGTTGAGTCCCCATCCCTGGAAGTATTTAAAAGACGGGTAGATGAGGTGCTTAGGGACATGGTTTAGTGGGCATGGTGTTGTTGGGTTGATGGTTGGACTCGATGATCTTGGAGGTCTCTTCCAACCTTAATGATTCTATGATTCTATATTATCATTACAAAGCACTCTCCCCTGGATTACTGCAGCTCCAGGATATTTGCCTGACTGTGGAAAATGACTGAGGATTCTCACTCTGTAGCCAGAAAATTTGTTAATTAAGGAGGCTTTCCTGATCAAGTTCTGAACATCTCTCAGACATGGAGGCTCATATTAATGTCTATGTCAGACACAGTCCAAGCTTCTTTCCAGTGCTGGCTCAACCTGATGAGTATTTGTAGGGAGCATCATTTTAAGCAAAACCTCCTTCAGTGACAGACACCTCCAGCATGGGTTTATGCGCTTACTTACATAATTTTACAGCCCTGGGCACTGCACTTGCTCAAGACCTTTCCTGTGATGCTAGCCACTCTAAAATGAGTATAGTCTTCAATCTTGCTTGAATACAATGCTCTGTAATGAGCAACACATCAGCAGATGCTTTAAAGAAACTGGAGGAGAAAGCCAGATGCTGCATCTGGAAGCAATGCTCTGCATGGGAGGCCAAGTAACACTCGTGCTGTGTTTGGAGGAGGAATGCCTGCTGGCAGGTAGTGGGGCTTGGACAGACCAAGGGGCAGGCACCATCTGTGGCTCTGAGCACATCCCAAAACATCACAGGAAGCTTGTCCTGGCAAGAAACTTTTTTCACATGATGAAATAGAAAGGGTGGTCAAGGATTTTATTAGTGGTAATAGCTTTATTACTCTTTTTATATAAAAACAAACACCAGGTATACCAATGAGGCATTTTCTATTACTAAATAATCTTTTTATCAGTTTTATACCATTAACAATCCAAGATTATACTGACACAAAGCACATTTGATGGAGTTACATCTTATGACTATTCAGAAACTAAAGCTTAATATAGAAGTCAGCGGTGTGGCTGGTAAGTAGGTCATCTGTTGGGAACAGATGTACTCTTTCATCTGCACTGCCTGCCAGTTGGCTTTGACCTATAATACCCTAAATGTCCTACTCTGCCTATCTAAGGCAGAGTGTGGAGACACAAAGGGGCTAGGAATCCTTGACTGATTATTCTCCAAAGGCCTCCTTAACCCAGAACTCATTTCCCACCCTTTTACCTTAAATAATCCTGATGTGTTGGCTTCTAGTCCACACAAGGCTGATCTGTTCTTCGAGACTTGGAAAAGGGAAGAAGGCGAGGGGATCTGGCTGATGATAATTTGAAAATCATTTAGTTTTGCCTGTGGTATTGGCTTCTAGACCAAGTGTTTATTTTCTGAGGCTAAGACTCTTTGTTTAGCAGCTTAAATTTATCACAAAGTAGTTAATGCCAAGGATTAGCAGAAAGGTGCCTTTATGTGTGTTCCTAAACATACAGAATTAAAAACCCCACACGACATTTGTTTAAAAGAATGATAAACAAACGTCTTGTTCAGCTGCTATTTGTAGTGACATAATTTAGGATCTCAGAGCCAGACATACCTGGTTTCAGTGTAGAAACACATTTAAAACTAAGAAAGGTATGATTCCCTCAATTTTGTGGGACTCATTCTTAAGCCTTAACAGGCTCCACAAGTGTTAATTCTTGCATTTATATCTCCCTGCTGTTTAGGATACAGGGAAAACACGAGAAAGAAAGTAAAAGTTGTTCAGGGAGACTCATCATCCTCTCACCTCCTTCCAGTTTAACCCTTATTTGCTTACAACATTAAGGCTAGCAGAAAATCCCTAGGACTTTAGAAGAGGTGGAACATACTTCCTTCTTCAATTCCTAAAGCAAACAAGGAGTGACCAGCGATGGCCTTGGGCAATGCAGTTAAAAAGAGTGGTGATTCCTAATTTACAGACACACAGCGCAGTGCAGTTACACCTTCTCTACAGAAAAATGAAGTTGAGCATGCAGTCCCTACAGGATCACTGCAAAGCCCTTCTCAACTAGACAAAAAAGACCCACATTTGCCCTTTCCAAGCATGAGCGGATGAAGGACGACTAACTCTTAATGCATGCACAAAATCAGGAACCTGTCATTTCTCCTTTAGCACATGCAAGACCGTTTATTGTTTTGTACCCAAATTAAAGGTTTCTTACTTCGCACATTCTGCAAACATTTCAACTAAAGCAGGCAAAAAGAGGGAAGTGTTTATTCCTGCATACATTAATCAAAAGGGGATAAACAGAAATTACTGAAGCTTCTAAAAAAACCAAACCAAAAACATGTATCTGCTTTTTGGGTAGAAAACTACAGCTACCTTCAAACACAAGGGCTATTTATGCAGAAATGCATCCAGTTAGCCACTCTTGCTACCCTAAAGACATGTGTCTGGTAAACAGCAGGATGGACATATGTAAACTAAAGTCAAATATCTGCTTGCATATCTTCTTTATCACATTCTTACAATTGTTTAAGTTTTACCACATTTTAATTGCAGCACCGAAGGAAGTGTGAGGAGCATTGGCAAAGCATAACTGGAACCTGAATGTATTTATGAAAGTGTATAAATTAATTAGCATGCTTCAAACACTTACTGGACAGCGATAGCTCTCTGAATTCTCTAACTAAAGGGAAATACAGCAACTGCATGCATACATTCATAAGCATCCCTATGTACATCACACATCAACACAAGCAGCTTTTATGTGACAGTAGGCCGTTTGCTATCAGCTCAAATATCACTTCGCATTCTTATTTGTCCAGAGGTTTCAGCTCTTAGACATAAGCCTCTATTGTTTTTCACTCTAACTGGAGGTGCATAACCTAAAGCAGAACGGGAATATTGCATTTAAAAAAGAGACAGAATTTTATGTCCAACTGGCAACAACTCTAAATGTCTACAAATGTGCAAGGCATCCAGTATTTGGTTCAGCTCCACTGTTGATAGTTATCCAGAAAGGAAAAAAGTCAAGGGTCTGGCTATAGGACAAACTCTTTACGAAATGTGTTTAAATAGGACGAGATCACTTCGTTCTCCCCTTTACCGGCTGGCGGCCTTACCGCCAGCAGAGGAGCTGAAAGACACAGAACTCGGTTAAGCACCAAAAATCTTACCTCTACCTGCACCTGGACATCATCAGGTTTGTTTTCAGCAAATGAAGATTTCCTGGTCTGTCCTCGCCTGTGGCCAAACTTGCATTTGTTCCTCAGGACTTGCTCATCATCTTCAATGGGTCTCCTCACATACTTGAAGCGATCTTTAAGGGCCCGTTTCCATAGCAACTGCATGGGGAAAAAAAATCTGGCATTTCCAGTATCTTTCAAGAATTTGCCCCATTCCTAAAGCAGGTCACTTTGTTTTATCTAACTCTGTTTTATAAAAAAGTGTTTGCTACTAAGCAGAAAAAGACTCTTAGGGTGGCATCAGCATACTGGTGGCTTCAGGACTGAAAGAAACACAAGCACCTGTGGTATTTGACTCTATGGCAACTAAACAACAGGGCTACTGGCACTGGTGTGGTTCGTTAAGGATGACAGTAATTGAACCTAAGGGTTAGATTTATCCAATATAACCAGGGCTGTCAGTGAAACCACAGTTTGCTTTCCTTTTCTCAGCTCTACTTTTGGATGCTCCATTGATGACATCAGGTCATGAAACTACACGGTGAATCAGATCAGCTCACTGGTGCCACAGAAAACTAATGGGGGTTTTTCTGAGTGGATTATTTTTCCCCTGTCTCTGACTGGTTGTGCAGCTGTATGATTACCATATCTAGCACAAGGGAGCAGGAAAGACACGGTGGGACGCTCCCTTTTGCAGGAAGCCTAGTTACACTGGATCAAGTGTATTATTAACCTGAACTCAAAATTGCTGAATTAAAAGGATCATTTAAGTAGGTCCTAGCATTTGCGAGACCTCTCAAGGCATGTAAATTGCAACTTAAAGGCAGTTCTGCACTGCAAGTGGATGCAGCCCCCATTTAATGGAGCTACTCATCACTCCTTGGCAGCCGAACTTCCTCATGCATCATTACGGACAGACGGCTGTTTACCTGCAGTCCCCAGCTGGGCTCCCCATGGCGGGACCCAGCCGTGCTAACTACCTACACGCAGGGAAGCAATTACTAAGCCAAGGCTGCTAAACATGTCTGCAGGCAAACCATGCAGTTGTGAATATTGAAAATGTTTTGTCAGATCCTCAAAAGCAACTGCTTATTTCAGTTATTGAGGGTTTTCAACAGTCAGAGGGAACAAAAAGTAGTCGGAAAAGTGACTGTAAGTGGCAGGACGTGGCAAGAGAGATTCAAATAGCTGTTACTTCATTTTCTAAAATTGACTCCAATACTATACTCACTTAATACTATACTCAAGCCTGTACTCACTGACATACTAAAACGCAATATAAGCAGAAGAATTATTACCCCAAATTTCTTACCAAAATGATGTCCTTTATTAGTCAAGGTCATATGACTGTAAAGGTTAACTTTGGTGTAAACCAGAATTCAGTAAAAGTAGACTAAGTAGTACAGTATCTTTCTTTGCAGCAAGTCTGACATGCCTGCCTTTCTCACCCATGGGGTATGGATGGGAGGGTCTCTTAAAAGATGGTGGTGAAGGCAGCATGATCCCTGCTGAAAATACTGCTCCCACCTCCCTAGGGTACTAGCTGACTTCCAGGTCCTCAATCCTAAAAGCAAGAGCTCCATGAATGGTGAAAAATGAAAGCGGAAGAGCTACGAGAATACAGCCCCTGTGGCGTCTACCTCAGCTCTTCCTGGGCAGACCTGGGCCAGCCAGGGCAGGTGTCCCCCCGGGAAGGGCGCACTATCTGCCACCCACCTACGGGCTCTTACGGAAGTATCCTCTCACTGCCAGTCACATGTGAACATCTGGGAACTGGAAAGAAAACAAACCCATCTGCATTTCTGGTTTGTAAGCTTCAGACTTAGGATTCTGCCGGAACAGGAGTCACGTCGTCACCAACCTAAACGTAATGAGTAGAAATAGAGCACAACTGCTCACCCAGCCTTCTCACAAGGCATATTTACAGCCTCAATTTGAGTATTACACCCTAGCACTGTTTTCAAAAGCAGTAAGGTGACTGCATGCCTTGAAAATCCCACTTGCTATCCACCTGAACCATTAAGGTTTGTGAATATGTTTACAATTCTGGCCCTATGCACTTACATTTTGATGCAAATACCCCAACGTTACACGCCTAGTAAAATTTATTTGGAACATTGTTATTTTAAGGCTGTTAAGAAACAAGCAAACAAAAACCTTAGCTTAACGCTTCTCTGAAGTGTTCAACAGATGTTAAAATATTTTAAAACATGATAATCCCAGAATATATTAGCAGCTGACAATTTGCATATCCCCTTAGTTGAGTTTTGCACAGTTTCTTTCTTTTGAAAACCTTTGTTCGGCTAAAAGACATTTTCACTTATTCTTCCACATGAAAGAATATGCTGACACCTATACAGAGCTTTAAATATCCCTCAAAGTTCAAAACATTCAGCTGTTTCATCCTCGTGTCCTCAGATAAATTAAGAGTTTTAACTAAATCTATTTCTCTAATAGGATTCTCAGAAGCTTAGCCAAGTCCCTTCTCACATACCTATTTCATGAATATGAAATGTACGTGAGCACATACATTTATGTGGCTTCCCTAGCGGGTAATGCATCTTCCAAAAAGGACGCTTTCGTTACCATTTTTGAGCCGATAACTCTATTTTCTATTAATTCCCTTACAAAAAAAAGCCCAAGCCACCCCAGGAAGGTTTACAATGCTCGTAAGGGAGCAGACGGATTAGCCTGTGTCTATCTGACATAGGAGGGAAAGGATTATACGCAGATTAAAAGCAGCAATTTACTAGTGAATAATCATTTTGTGCACAGCGGTTACATAAATCAGGCATGTCAGCACTGGGATCCTGGGTTTCACCGGGATCACGGCACCCCTCGGCAGCCCTGAGCTCGAGGGAGCCGCTTACGCAAAGCCCACTGGCAGGCGGTGCGGATGAGAGAGAGCCCTCTCTTTTCCTTCCTCATGTACGGCTGCCTTGAGATCATACCGTTTTCAATTGTTGGCTGAAATGAAATGAAATAAGGGCAGTGACTCTTTCCAAATGGTTGGTTGTAACCCTTGTAAAAGGAATAGGCACAAATAGAATAGTATCTTGCAAGTGGTCAAGAAACAGTGTCGTGCCCATTTTCTTTTGACTGCTGCAACGATGACCTTGGCTTTTTCTATATAACCTGTTTGTCTGTAACTACTGGGAAATGTTGCATTGGTTACATTATAGATCAGAAATCTAATACTCTATTTCATGATTAAATGGAGATTTTTTTTTTTTTTAAATGTTGTATGTGTTACCTTAGGATAACATTGCTCTTTAAGTAGAAGAAAACATCATGGGAAAAACTCCTTAGGTAAACACCTTAAAGCACTTCTTTCCAAAAGCTAATCTTGGAACAGGGTGGGGAAATTAATTTCATTCCAAGTGCTCCACAGACCTCTTAAATCATTTTATACTAAAAGCAAAACTCACTTAATTTTTTTAATTATTACTTAGGATTTCAGATAATTCTTTCTTAATTCCTGCTTCTGCAGTGACCTAGTAAATAACCTTCTTTTTAAATTCACAGTATATAAGTAGCTTATTTGTAACCTTATTTTTAAACTTATTCATTTAGAATCATTATCATCATTCAGACTATATTCCATTAGATATTCTTTTCAAGGGCCTATGGCACAGAAGCATATTTTTCTCTACTGCAAAATTAAATAGGAAACCTTTTAACCAAGAAAACAGAATTATGGGTAATCAACTAATAAATCTTGAAACACGAAACCTTTAATGACCTCTCATTGCAACAGTATGACATTGAAAATATTAGATGACATTTCTACATGATGCACACATTGTTTAAACTACTTGTTTAAAATAGTTTGGAGTTGTAAATAAAAAATGTCCAGGTTTTTTGGTTGTTTTTTTTTGGGGGGGGGGGGCGGGGGGGGAACAAGTAAATTTTTTCCTGTCATGAAAATACTGGTGTGAATTTAGGCACTCTCAGGTTTGTTTTTTTGTTGTTGTTCCTCTATGTTTTCCAGCAGATCTTTCCCCTTTCCAATTTTCCAAGCCATTTCATTTCCATGAAAACGTTGCAACAGAAGTGCTGACATTTCCAATTCAAAGTTTCTCCAAGTTTTTTATTACATCAAGTTCTTTACGTTCCGATTTTCTGTTCTTGGTCAGAAGAAGAAGCTAATTCTGGAATGTCAAGATCTCTCACAGAATCAACTTTCCCTTTTCTCAGCCAGAAAGCCCAACCGCCTGCCCCCACCCACCCACGGCACGCACAGGCCTGCATACTTGCCGTGGAAGAACCCAGAACAGTTTCCACTGCATCCTTCCAGCAGCCAAGACACATCCATTTCTGGTGAAGGGCTCCAAACCATAAGACTCGCGAGTTAAAAATAAAATCGCACCACTGACAGACCTTCTCAGGGTATCTCATTAAGAACTACCGCAGCCTTCTGCAGACCCCAGCAGACGCTGTGGCTGCTCCTCCACCCCAAAGGGTAAGCAATTGCTTTCCTTCTAAGCATGAATTTAGAGTTTAACTGAATCTAGGAACCGAGACATAGCACAGCAATAAATAAAGAGCAATAAATTAACGCCATTAACAATACAGTGGGATAGAGCATTTTGCACGGCAGAAAGGAAAACACCCGATAGCAGAAGCGAGCTCCAGCACGCCAGAAGGAACGCACGATTTAGTACCCCAAACTATGTTCAGCCCTTTTGTTTTTTTGAAATGCATGCAACTATTCCTTTTTCCTGTAACTTTGACAAGAAATTAAAAGTCCGAATACTTGAAAATGTTTGTTGGTATTCCAAATAAACTCAGATAACTTTATTAATCTACCAGTCCTGTAAACCATTATTCTCAGAGGCCTGCCCAGCTGAATTGCCGTGTTCGGCGTGTCCCTTTCTCCAGCCTTACAACACACCAAAAGGAGGGGGTTATCTATCAAACACAGACATCTGTGCACAGCTGGTCACCCGAGGCTCCCTTTGGAGTCCCCAGAAAGAAACAAGAACTTCCATAGTGCTGTTCCTCTCTTCTGAATGTAGACACCAAAAACACATTATATGAACTGCATCTCCAGAAGTTTATATATAAAGTTATTTAATAACTAATGTAACTAGCATTTTTGCTTAAAATACTACACTCATGTTACAGTTTTCCTTTTCTACATTTAGCTACCAGTCCCCAAATAAAGAGCTTTCTGCTTTTCCTCTGAATTACTTTACTGATGATAGTTTTCTTAAATACTTTCAATGTACTATTCAAAAACTGTAATAACAAACTTGTTTATCTATAATAATTAGACAGTTAAGGTATTCAAAACCTCTCAATAAGTACTGTTTTACATCTTACAAGACCTGTGATTCAATACTGTTATCAGGAACAGAAAGCAGCCATTCTTACAGTCCCGTGCTAGCCTGAGGCAATTTTAAAGGAAAAGCCTACAAAAACTTCACTTCTTTTGAGCTGCTGAAGACACCTTTTCTGAGAAAAGAGGAAAGAAGGGTGGTTAGCCAATTTTTTGTTGTTGTTGTTCATTTGTTTCTTAAAGGTACATGAATTCAGTTTTACTGCAAACCTCATGCTAAGTAGCTGTGCATATGTTGTAGGGTTTGTTTTAAGCCGTTGCTGTTGTAACACACATCTATCTCAGATCAAGAAAAAAAAGTAGTATTTATAGCCTTTACGATTGTGAAGGAAGAACAGAATGTCTAACAGTAGGGCCAATAAAAATAGTAATTCATCCTCACCCCCTCCTCCAAACTTAAGCATACAGACATACACCTTTAGTGCATTTTTTCCTGCCTCAAGCAATAGAGAGGGGCTGGCTCAGAAGCGTTAGACTAGCAATATCGCAAACTGCTAATTCCAGCTTCCTCACTTACTTATGGCGGTTTCTGCCAGATATGCTTTCTAGCAAACATGAGAGAAATATCAAAAGATAAAGAAAACTCTGAAGTCTCTGCCCCATCACACAACTTCTGCCAGCACCAATTCTGGGATCAATCTGGGAAGCGATGAGCCATTTCCCAAAGAATGGAGTTGTAAGTAGTTTCACTCAGTCAACAGTCCTGCTGCAATGAAAGCCCTTTGAAAACCTAGCTCAAGAAGCTCTGTTTAAAAACAATTTTTAAAAGTTAAAGGCTGTAAAAAGGTCTTTGGACCCACCCGGAACGTCATTCCAGCTCCCCTTCACAAGGGGAGCCAGATGAAGCTGTAGCATTACCCAGGACCCTGGCCAGGGACCCCCGCTGGAGTATTCAGAGAGGAATCCTGACTGAAAATAAGGGTGGACTGTAGCTCTCTGATCCTTCTGCTCCCTCTCTCCTTTCTGAGATAAGTTTGTTTTCTTTGGTCCCTTCCCTCCTACAATGCCTGGGCTCAGGAGAGAACTAGAATAGCCACCCCTTAATCCTCACTTTTTTTTTTTTTAATTCTCAAAATTATTTTGCTTTCTGCAGTAAGTGTACACAAGATACATATTTATATACATTTAAAGCTAACAATCCCCACCGAGACTCACAAACTTTTACAAGACGCTATAAAAGTATCACATGGCAAAGCAATGATGTGAAGGTAAAAGGTTAACACTGTCCTTTGAGACCACAGATACGTATTCTGGATCACAAGAGTGAAAAAATGTAGTTCAAATTTAAGTCATCTCCTTCCATTGCTTTCCGTTACGTCCCCACTGAGATCCCAACCAGTGTTTTTAATATTTTTTTTTTTTTAATTAGGCCTAGGTTCCCAGCATACCTAAACTAGTAGTATTACTACATGTTGCAGCTAGATATCTAACACACAAGTGATTATAATGCATTGCAGGAGCATCAGTCATATGTTAGTCCTCATACAATTTTCTAAAGGCTTGGCTTCTTTGTTTTTAAAAACAAAACTATGTCACATTTACTTAAATTTATCCTTTGGGGGAAATCAATCCAGAAAGAAACTGTACCCAAAAAGCAACCAGGGACTTCATGTACAGGTCTACATGATCTCACAGTGGCTTTGAGGAATTGCTGTGACTGGATTAATCTTTAATTAATATAATGAAATAAGAATGTGATTTGCCAAACCTGTCAAAGTGAAGTTTACAGCTCTGAATAGAGTCAGTATATAAGAAATCGATATTGATTTCCTCTGAACTAGGTTATTTTCTTGTGATCAATTATGGGGGGGGGGATTATTTCCATATTTTTCAGTTTTACAATACTTACAAAGCCATTCCCATCTTCATCGAGGAATGGGTATGCCTGCAGTAGAGCATTGACAACAATGTTATATTGCTGACTGTTGGGATACCTGTGCAAACAAAATGGAGATGTAAAAGAAATAGTTGGTATTCTAGACAGTATTAGACACTGCCTGGAGTCTACAACTGATATACATTAAACTGACCATTTCTAAGACTATCGATTCCCCTCCAAATAGCAAAGGGAACAGCTTTAAGGTTTGCATGAAATCTTCCTGTTTGACTTCAACAGGTTTCAGGCCCTTAGCCTCCTCTATTTAAGCAAGCATATTAAAGAGAATGGCTTTCCATCCATTTGAAAATTTACTTCTGCAGCCAATAGGTAATGCCCCCAAATAAATCTAACGATGTTTACTCACAGCGATCCTTCTAGGTATTTTGTCATGTCTGCTTGCAAAAATTCAATAATCCTTATTCTCATACTGTGATCAGGGCATTTTTTTTCTGCTAATATGCACTTGACGTCGTAAGGGAAGTCTGGCAAAGCATAAGAACTTGTCCACTGCAATGTCTTGTATCTTGCAAAAAATGACTTCAGATTTTTTCTGTAAAAGAAAAGATTATATCATCATTATCATGTCCTTCTTCTATGGGAACGCAGGCAAGAAGGAAAGAAAAATACAAGCAAAAACTCAACACAAAGCAAAGTTACTGCTATAGCAATTCGAGGCTTGCTCTCTTGGTTTCTACATAAAGAATACCTACAAAAGCTGCAATCAAAACATATGGGGTTAAAACCAGATGTCAAAGGCGAAATGTTTTAATCAGCAGACGCTAGAAGGTGGTCACTAACTGAAAGCAGAAGGCAGAGCGGAGGAAGTCACTGGGGACTTGCTACTGTTGCAAAATAACTTTCTCTGTAATAATTTATAATGTGTTTCCTACCAGTTCTGCTAATTTACTAGCAAAAGTAAGTAAACAACTTAATTGAATAAAATACTATACACGACATTAGCTAAGACTGTCCTCCCAAAGGGAAAAGCATCGAAGGGATGACGGCAGTTCTCAACACACGGGTGAAGGCAGTTACCAGCACAGTGGCTGGAACAAAGCAGACACAGCCTGTAAGTACCCACGGCTCCCATCCCGAGAAGACCATCGGCACTGTTTACAAATGTCACACCCCAGCTGGGGTGAGCCTGGGGCAGGATATCACCACTGGCTACCCGAGCACTTCCTGCCTCCAGAGAGCCTGCCAAACCCTAATTCTGAAGGAACACAGGGAAAAGTAGAGATAAATTGAGCTGGAAGTCAATCAAGAGCCACCTAAGAGGTGGAGTGGTTCTGGCAGCCCTAGACAGCTTCCCAGTCATAGTAGTCCAGACCAGAGGTGCCAAAGACAACTAAAGAGTCCCGTTACCTATGTGGTATCACTGCAATTTATGTTTGCTTTAACTTAAATTGCAGAGAGCAATTTGGAAACAGCTATCAGGCTTTTAAAAGAATTTTTAAAACAAAATGCTGTCATTATAGATGACAAACGTAGATGCTTACATAGTATAAATATACAGATATCTGTATCTGAATTAATCATCTGCATTCCCTTTATATTTACTGAGGAGAGATAAACATCGCTGAAGGATGACAGAACAATGAGAAGACACCTATATCAGACCAGATGTTCTCTCTCATCTATTTCTCTCCACTAATTGTGAAAGAAATTAAGATAGTTACCACAGTTGTTGAAATCTACACTGTATATGTCTCAAGTTAGGAACCCTCCACTTGGTAGGTGAAAGCTCCCACACAAAGATGTGTGGCTGGACTAGGCGTGCTCTGGTGTCCCTGCCAAGCTGCACTGGATTTTGAGTCTATGAAAGTTATGGAGGGAAATACTGCTAGACTTCAGTTAACACACACAAGTTTTCACTCCTAAAGGTCTCTATGATAGCCTATAAATAGGAGCTAGGTATATAAATAAGAGTTGTGAAGAGTTTTAGCAAGGTCTTCATTGGAAGGTTTTGCTATCTAGCCTCTTTCAGATAAGGATGTAAAAAAAAAACAAAACCAAAAAAAACCCCAAAAAACCCATGGTAGCCAATATCTTTAGGCTGGTAAAATCAACTGCAATACCAATGGATGAGCATTTGCAATAGCTTAATTTACAGCACTTTGAAAGATTACTATATATCGGGGAGGCACATTATGTTGGACCCCTATAGTCATAGTAATATCCTCAATACCTTCTTGAGTAGATTACCCTGTAACTCTCAACCTTGTTGACCTGGTTATGCTGCCGCACCATCTTGGCATCTTTTAATGTAGGTTGGTAGCTTGCAGGCTGGTAAAAGCTTTACAGCCATGATATAACTTTACCAACACCAACACTACTGCAAACTGTGATGCAGTGCTGAAAAAGAAAAAAATAATTTGGGTACTGTCATCTGATCCTCATAGTTATATTAACAGCAGCAGCAGCACTAACAGCACTACATGTCCCCATGCAAAACAGGTACAAAATGGCCAAGGCTGTTGTCTCTCTAAGCTCACCAAATTTTATGGGACACAGATGGTTAACAGTAGATGCAAACTGTAGTGAACTTCCACTAGTACTTTACAGTCTCAAAAGAAGGAAAAGCTGTGCGAGAAGTGACAAACATCCACACAGACACATTCATGTCCTTTTTTGGTGATAAATTAATACACAAATGGGAAAATAAAACCAAACCCAGATTCTGAAATCACTTGGAAATCCCTCTTATGCAAATAAAGTGCAGATGTTCAATGTAGCATCAATGAGGAGCTCTGCAGCCTATGAGTTTGCATACTGTGCTTCCACCAACTTTACTGATGAAAGTGATGTAGCAGACAGGCTGCGAGTTACTACATACTATGTTCAACATGCTATCTTTAAACTAGCTCAAGAATGTACAGAAGTTTAAAACATGCAGTAATTTGTGGCTGAGTAGCGCTGAAATTCCTGTTGTTGCCAACACCAGTGAAGCTGAACTGCCATTTCAAGAAGTGGAACAGTTTAGCAGGTTCAGTTCAGGCGAACTGAACTGTACTCGGTTACTTGAAGAAAATAAAATTTTCTTGGAGTTGGGGTGGCTAATAGCCAGGGAGGCATGGTAACTCTCCCCTCCACCAGTCCCTTCATGTTTGCCAGTACAACAAAAATACTCCAAATTCCATTTCTCTTCAGCCTTACCCAACATAGAACACACCTCCTTGCTGTCCAAACAAGATCCAAAAATGCCTTTAGTCTCCACAGTGCAAGAGATTAAATATTTTACTAGCTTTTGCTGAAATAATTCCTGTTGGACAGTCATGTTAAATACGTGCAGTAATATTTTACAATGAAATACAAGTTGGTTTGAAAAGAGACACAACTCCACACTAAACTTTATCCCCAGAAATGCTCACATGCAAACTTGTTTAACTAAAAGAACACTTCAGTTACACTGTACGTGCACTGCTATTTATGCATATAGCCAAGACCTTTCTTGATTGTGGAGAATGGCATTACAGCTAGAGATTTAGGTACAAACGTACATAGCCTGTTTCTAACCATCCCTCTCTGGTCTTCTAGCTAACCTGAGACAGAGAAAAGATCAAGATCCCAAAACGCAAATTACTACATCTTTTGTTTTCTCTCAGTTCTTGAGATATTTGATGCTGCAGCTAAATCAGTCCAATGGCTAACTGCTGCCAAATGTCAGTCCCCCTCTCCCCCTGCTGTCACGCATCTTTACCCCTTTGTTACTGGTATGGGAAGCCTCTAACCATGCAGCAAGTTACTTCAAGGAGCTACAGTGATGAAATTCTTCATTTTTCTTCTTGGTTTAGTGTTCTCACTGTTTAGGTCCCCAAAATAGCTGCCCATAAGGTGAGACAAATACCAGCACAGAGGAAGCAAGCTGGTCTCTATGTTTAGCTGCAATATGGAACTGCATCCTAAGAAGCATCTCCTCAGCAAGGACACAACTAATCACGGAACTTTTGACCACTCAGCTTTTGCAGATGACCACTTTACTCACTGCACTAAGTCACAGCACTCTTTCACACAGCTATTTGTTTCTCTGGCTCTATTTCAGCCTTACACTGCTCACACACAGCCTGTTTACTGACACACAAAACTGTAAGAGAACATAATTTTGGGAGGAGCAGTTTGTCTCCTTCAGCTGGCAACCCCCCCCCCCCCCAAAACAAACCAACCCACCCCCCCAAAACCCACCTATTTAAATTTTACAACCCCTGGGATCCCTAATCCCAAGAAATATCTTGTTTTACTGCTAAAAAGGCAAAGATTTTACACACTTGCAGCATCACCCGGATCATTCGATGAAGGTTTTAGATCATGGTCACCAAGCTCAGTGTCTTGTGCAACCTCATGCAGAGACACAAAGCTGCCCGAATTAGCTGTTACAAGTCAGTAAAAATAATCTTGGCATCAATACAGACAGCTCAATCAAGATAGCTGTGCAAAGTGCAGTAGAGACCTAGAAACAGGTTCAAACACTAGATCATACGATTTTGTCATTTTTAAGCTTCTGAGCATACTGGTAGCAAGGATCAGTTTCCTGTATTTATTTAGTTCATTTAAAAAAGTGACTTAAAGGACAGCTGAGCACATGCATAAATAGACTGCGTGCTACATGCTTTTCTCATTGTATGTCTACTTTAGTAAAGTCCATGAGTCTCTGGCACCCAATGTGACATCTTGTATCAGCTTAGGTTCCAGTAACTCAGAGGACATCACAGTTGATTAGAACCTTGCTGACATCAATGGGTTACCACGTTTGGCACGTGTCGTGGTTTAACCTCAGTCGGCAACTGAGCACCACGCAGCCGCTCACTCACTCCCCCCCACCCGGTGGGATGGGGGAAAGAATTGGAAGAGCACAAGTGAGAAAAACTCATGGGTTGAGATAAAAAGTTTAATAATTGAAATAAAATTATAATAATAATATGATAATAATAATACACAAAGCAAGTGATGCACAGTACAATTGCTCACCCCCCGCCGACCGATGCCCAGCCAGTCCCCGAGCAGCGGCCCCCCCCAGCCAGCTTCCCCCAGTTTATGTACTGAGCATGACGTCACATGGTATGGAATGTTTCTTTGGCCAGTTTGGCTGTGCCCCCTCCCAGCTTCTTGTGCACCTCCAGCCTTCTCAGTTGGTAGAGCATGGAAAACTAAAAAGTCCTTGGCTAGTGTAAGCATTACCTAGCAACAACTAAAACATTGGTGCATTATCAACTTTGTTCTCATCCTAAATCCAAACCACAGCACTGTACCAGCTACTAGGAAGTAAATTAACTCTATCCCTGCCGAAACCAGGACAGCACGTCAAGATAAAACTCAGCACATGGGTGGAGCCTCAATAGATTCCCGTTTTTCACAGGTGAAGGTCTAGCCTTTCCCATGTCTACACCAAACATCAGCAAGAGACTCCTGCCTGAAGATTTGCAGGCTGGAAAAAAGTCCATGTCTACAAAGCCAAGGAAGAAACAGAAGAGAAAACAAAACCTGGAGCTTGCAGATATGAAGGGAAGGAAGAGTTTGTAGCTGTAGAAAATGTTCCATTTCACTAACACATGT